GTTTATGTAGTCCGTAATGCAGTGGGTCAGGCTGCTGACGTCCTCACCGTGGGGGCTGCAGAGTGCTTCCCAGTCTGTTGTCTCAAAGCAGTCTCTGAGCCTAGCGCTGGCCACCTCAGACCACACCTTCACAGACTTCTTCTCAGGTGGTTGTTTATTCACCATGGAGGTGTAGTCTGGGGACAGAAGGACCACATTGTGACCTGAGCGACCAAGCAGGGGGAGGGGGATGAAGTGTATGCATCCTTGATGGTTGCATACAGTAAGTCCAACGTTCTGTTGTCCCTGGTGTGGCAACTCATGTACTGGGTGAAGGTGGGGAGGGCAGAGGACAGTGAAGCATGATTGAAGTCCCCGGAGATGAGGAGGAGGGCTTGGGGGTGCCGGGTCTGTTACTGAAAGACGACATTGTGGATCTTCTCTGTAGCGTCAGCAGCGACCGCCGATGGAGGGATTTACACAGTTATCACGATAACATGTGATAGCTCTCTCAGCATGTAGTATGGGCGCACGCTAACAGTTCAATGTCTTTGGTGCAGAGTTGCTCCTCGACACAGATATGTCCCGGGTTGCACCATCTCTCATTAACAAACATAGCATTTCCCCCTCCTTTCTTCTTACTGCTCTCTGTAGTTTTTCTGTCCACCCGTATGAGCTGAGAGCCATCCAGGGTAACATGATAGTCAGGACAAAGTTCATTCAGCCACGTCTCCATAAAACACATGAGACTGCATTGTCGGTAGTCCCTCTGCAGTCGGGTAAGCACAGAAAGCTCTTCCATTTTGTTGGAGAGAGATCTTACGTTCCCCATGATGATTGCAGTACACATGGTTTGTACTGTCTTTTCCGCATCGGAGCTTCACTCCAGCTCTGCAGCCTCTCCTCCTTCACCATAACTCCACAGGGATCTCCGGTCACTCCACGTAGTGAGGAGGTGAGTGGCTCAGGGCTAACAGCTGCTCCCGAGTGTAAAGATTGGAGCCATGGCTGAACAGGTCTCCCATCGCCGAATCAAAAAGTCTGAAAAGTGGCAAGAAGCAAACAACTAATGCTACGAGGTAAACATCCATTGCTGCACACTTGCCTAATGTCGATGTAACACACAAAGAAAAGGCAAAAAGTACACTAAAACACGCTAAAAGCACTAAAAACGCAGGAGAAAGTACAGAGCTGCTGCCACGCTGCACCTTGCTGGTTTGCTGGCTTGTTGGTTAAATTAAGAGAAGATGATGCTGGTTGGTTTAACTTGGAAAGGACAAGTAATGCCATTTTTCTGCGCTCTTGATGTTCTTGTCAAGTAGCAGTCATTTCCTTTATAACATCCCCATCTTCAACGTAAATTCACTGTAGAGGCTAACATAACCCACATCCACTGGCCTACTTTCTAAGTGCCCATAGAACTGGCGTTACATCCACTAACTACTGTAAGACATTGTTTTGGTGCACTCAGAGTTAATATTGCAGTTGAAGCTGTTGGATTCTGTACACTTTAATGGAAACAGAAAGGATGAAAGAGCCAATTAATGGGTCATTCCTGTTAATGTTCACACCACCTTCTGCCCCTCTACCCTGAGTTCCTGCAGTAGACAGACACTTAATGTCTTAAAAGCTAGAATTTCCAACACTGTCTCTTCTTGTAAATAGATTACAGTTCTGTCTTTCCTCCAATAACCACAACTGCTCTACTTCTTTTGTATCACACATAATCTGACAAAAATTCTTTCTCTTCAGTCTTGATTATTGTGTGAGATACGGAAAAGTCTTATTTTGACTTAAAGGTTAATCTGATTGTTGGGGCATTTACTTGGGCTACATAAATACCCCAATCAGTCCCTGAAGATTACTTTCTCTGTTATGGAATTACAACAAGGCAATCTTGATCTTGATGACAAAAGCCCTGTTCGCTGTCTACAGCTTCTTTTGTACAATGCTGGGATCCTGTGACCCTATTAAAAATGAATGGTGATCTGTTAAAATATTCATCAAGCGAGCAGGGGAAGCAAGTCTGAGTTCAGGCCGAGCAGGCAGCTACCAAAGCCTGACAAGGACGCATAGTGTAGTAGGGTAGTATTCTACAATTAATCTCATCAAGGCACAAAACAGAAACAAAAGTACAATGACAGCACCATCAGAGTCAGATTTAATACGCTGACCTGTTTTATCCTGAATTCACTAATTTAAAAAAGAAAACAATGTTTTCAAATTCCTCATTTAGGAAAGGCAAAGCAGCACGGGGTGAGATTAGAATGATCTTTGTGTAACATCTAGTTGGAGGAGTGAATCCTCACCGATGTAGGAGAAGCAGTTTGTTTAAAGCAGATGGCAGTGCACAACACTGTGCTTTGACCTTGGTTTTCCTCCTTCAAAGTGAAATGGAAGAGAAGACAGGAGAAGAAGGAGGAGGGTCGTCTGTCTCAGCACAAAAGCGTCATGAAGCTAATCACCACTCATTAGCATTTCATTTTGGAGTCAAATTAAGTGCAAGACAAAGAAAAACAAGAAAGATAATAACAATTAACATTACGTGCATAATATCTCTTCTCATTGAACTAAAATACAAATGTTTGTAAAGCTGACCACGCAAGCGATGTCAAATAACAGGTCTCTCAGCATCTGTTCTTTGCCTGCTCTGCCTTCCCATTGTTTATTTTCCAGCTTTGTCTTCTTGTGCACTGTGTTGCTGCAGTACTTTCATGCCTCTGCAGCACCCCAGGGTGCCTCTTACTCGTGGAAAAGTCTGAACAGTCAGCTGTTCTTAATCCATTCAATCCTGATAATAAAAATATTTTGATTGCTCACATAGCAGAGCAAGGCAATCATGTGCACTGCTGTGTCTCAGAGGCAAACAAGTGTCTCGTAAAGGTCATCGTCATCACTGCACTTTTGTCAGATTGTTCTGACTCATAGATTGTGGTCTTTCAGGTTCAGCAGATAATCAGCAGCAATGCATCATGACTTTTGACTCACACATTTTTACTTTGTTTCCCCCTCAGGCACCATATTTCTGGCCATCCAACTGTTGGGAGCCTGAGAACACAGACTATGGTGAGGGACTTCAGGGAATTTCATGACCTTTTTGTAATATTTTTTTTAAACATTTTATCACCTCCGCTGAGGCTATGCCTCCTCGGCAAAAGTAGTTTTTTTTCAGTGCCATCTGTCTGTTTGACTGTCAGCAGGATTGCGCAAAAACTAAAAAGCTAAATGCAATGAAACTTGATGGAGAGGTGAAGCAGGGACAGAGGAAGGAGCCATTAAACTTTGGTGCATGTTTGGAACTCCTTCTTTATAATTGCGATATGGGGCATCAGCCTTGGTGGATGTCTGCACTTTGCAAGTGCACCTCTAGTTCATTTTGTGAACAACATGCTGTGTTTTAAACAGCATTTCTCAGCCATCAAATGTATTAAACAACTTTTAAATAACAATATGATACCAGTGCATGGAGCTAATATATTATAATATTATACTGTATTTGAAATAGCGCTGATACTGTTGTTGATCAATATCATTGATTTAACAGTATAATGTCACACAATATAAAGAATCACTTTATCTAATTTAGATCAGTTCTGTGCCTCATTGGACAATTCTCGTGATGCACATTACCTTTCATAAAATGCTCTTGGTACACTCTTGTACTTGGTACACACAGTCTGTAGATTGAATGCTTATGAGGCATTGGGCTGAGCACAAACTACAGCTTCAACATGAGCAGAATATACATTACCAGCAACAACAGCTGTAGGATTACTGTTCTGGAAATGGATTCTAGCAGTCTTGTCCCAGAGCAGCACCTCAAGAAATGTTCTATGAATTTTGTTTTATTTTCACTAAGCAGCATCAAATTGAAAATAAAAGTACTGCTAATGCAGTGCAGCTGTAGTTAAATATTTGTTGTTTGACTGTAGAGATCACCTTAGATCTGAGAAGAAAAAAAAAAGACTTTGTAGATAATTGTCTTAGTTTCTTCCTGTGGGTTTGGAATGTGGCAATCAATCGCATATTTCACTGTAGGGTTTTGTTTTGATCTAGATATTAGCCGCTCATATGTTTCACTGTCCAATACAGCTGGACATTTCTACATGATTGCAAAATCAGAATCTGTCACAAACTTATAGCTAAATGGCATATACTTGGTTATTTTATTTTATTTAACCTTTATTTTACCAGGTAAGTTAATTGAGAACTGGTTCTCATTTTCAATAATGACCTGGTTATTGAAGGCTGTTCAGTAACGTGCGGTCAGGGGAGGCAGGTGAGGCAGATTGTGCAATCCAAGCGAGGCAGCAGCGACCTGAGCCTCACTTGGATTGCTGCTGTCTGTATGTCGCCAATAACATGGTTCAAACACATTTAGTATATGAACTGATTTTCCATAGTTCAGCTGATGTATATAATAATGTACAGTGATTTTTGTTACCAACGTGTTTCGTGTGCTGAGCGATCACAAACGGCTGAGAAGAGGTTCCAGGTGAGGCAGGCAGTTTTCTTGCCTCATGGCAGGGAGCACTCTGATCCCAGACATGCTTCTTGTGACTCCGCGGCTGCAGAGTAAATGACAGCAAGCTGGACAAGGTACAGTATACAGTTAGCTAGTCAAGTGCAGCGAAGGAAGATCAGGAGACTTTTACAAAAAAGTAACGAATATTTTTGTCCAGAATTAGCGGTGCATGGACTTCATAGGTAAGGGTAAAACCGCAATAACTGAAAAAAAGAAAAAAAAAAGAAAAAAGAAAGAAACATGCTTTTTGTGGGCTACAGCTTGCATGTGTAAATAATGCAGATTTGAAATATAACCCGTAAACTGCTGCCAATCAAATGGCGAATATGCTACTCTGGAGAGTGCATGTATTTGTAAATCAGATTCTGATGAAGTCAGTGCCTCACCAGCCATGAACCTCACTGCACATCACTAAACCACCTATATAATAATTTACTGTGCAATAATATTTTATGCAATAATAACACTTTCATAGGCTTCATGTATTGTGTGACTAACTTTTTTAGTGGTTCCTTCCGCTTCAGCTACAGCTTCTAGCCATAAAATTAGTTCATCAGTCTGCAGTTCAGTAAGGAGTTGTTCATAACTTACTGTAAATTTAATTTCAGAATAATAGTTGTACTGGTTTCTTTCAGTTGGCACACTGGCCTTCAAAACCACATAATAATAAAACCCAGCCTGGCAGTGTAAACACAGTATATATCAGGTTCTGTCTGAGTGTAAATAAGAGCAACCTTCCTCTGAGCTACATACTGAAGCACAACAAACACTGCCCTGTGTTGTGGAGATGAACGGTTGACAGGATTAGTCAGTCAGTGTTCTGCCTCCTGCCTTTCATCCCGTCACAGAGGCACCCATGGCTGGAGTTCAGAGCTTGGCAGTTTAGTGGCTCTTCACACTTTGCCCTATAATCCTGAAACAACAGATACAGTAGGTGGACAGGCAGCTGTGAACTGATCATGCTCCATACCATGGATGGTGAAGTAGGTACGTAGGGAACGAGAGATGCACAGATCAGTGGAGGGAACGAGGGAATACAGATGAATTCCAACCTTTAATCCTCTCTCTGTCCACAGCTATCTACCTGTGCAAGCGGACCATGCAGAATAAGACGAGGCTGGAGCTGGCAGATTATGAGGCGGTGAGCACTCAACTGTTCCTCTGAGCTATTACTTCTTAGTATTGATCTATGTGTCAAGCTCGGGGTTGCAAAAAGCACCCTCTTAAAGGCCAGACAGGTGTGTGTCCGTGATCATATAAGATCTCAATAGCTTCTCAGAGCAGACTCAAACTTTAAAACCCTGAAATGTCTTATGATTTAGTTTTGATATTCTTTTTTTCTTTGTCTATCTTTTCTCTAACAGGAGAACTTAGCCAGGCTGCAAAGAGCCTTTGCCAGGAAGTGGGAGTTTATCTACATGCAGGCTGAGGCCCAGGTCAAGTAAGTGTGCTCTGTTGCTAAGGCAACACATGAAACTACAATGCACGCACTGACGTCATTCACAACCGAGGTTAAAGAAGCACAGTCTCAATGTGACCTCCCATATCATGAGCAGTGATTGTTTCTGACAGACTCCATTAACCCTCCTGTAATCGAGTTTCATGCAAAAATTATCTATCTAGTGTTCTCAGGTCACAGTGGGTCTGCTGCTCTGTGTTTCTTGGGTAGATAGTATGTTAATATTATAATAGAGAGTGAGAACCTTACACACGTATACAGAGAAAGCCAACAAATCTAAATGATTCGCTTTGAGCAGCTCCTTGGTGACAAAGAGAAAAACTCCCTTTCACTGAGAAGAAACCTCCAGCAGAGCCAGGCTCAGGGAGGGCAGCCATCTGCTTGGACCAGGTGTGGTGAGGGTAAAGAGGATAGAGAACAGGACAGCAGACTACACATTAAAGGACAAATATTTCTCTGGAGGTTGGTAAGGCCAGTAACTACACCTCAGAGATGTGTAGCTCTACAGCTTGAGATACCTGCAGAGAGGATAAAACACAAACTACAAGAGAGGGAAGATGCAAAGTCTGTGACATGTATAAAAATGTGTGGAAAGAGAAAGAGAGGAGAGGTGCTCAGTGTATCATGCGAAGTCCCCCAGCAGTCTATGCATATAGCAGCACAGATAAGGGATAGTTCAGGGTCATGTGATCAGCCCTGACTATAAGAGGGGCTTCTTAAGTTTCTTATTCCTTTTTTTATTTGATTCTAGTGGATTCCAAAAGAACTTGTTGCCCCAGAGACCCCTACATGGCCTCTTTCTGTTTGCATGTGATAACTTTTCAATCACTGACTCCAGATAGTCACACAGAGCAATATTCTAATTCCTGTAAACAGTCTAAATAATGTTTTATCTTGTTCTAAAGTAGTAACGATGTGGAAGTCTACTGTTTGAAATACAGCATGTGAAAAATAAAATACAGCAGACCATAGGTTAGTTCAGATGCTGTATGTCTCTGAACGCCTTCTTACAGTGACAACCTGGTGCTAAACTGATGAGCAACTTTTCTGAAAAGTTAGTTTGAAAAGTAGTGAACTACAGTAAAGTACAGCTACCTGAAAAATGTACTTAAGCACAATGCTTCACTTAATGACCGAAGTTATTTTCTACCTTTGTATATTGGGTAAAATATAGGGATACTATATCATTTTTCTATCATAAGAAATGTAACATACATTGGAAAATAAAGAGATCATAGTAAACGCAAAAACATGATGAATGATAAGTATTGTTTCCCATCAACCTTACCTACAGTTCTCCACTGTACTTGCGGTAGATTAGTCTCCAAAACAAACCAGACTGCAACTCTCATCAGGACAAGAGCACAGCAGTATCTGTATTGTACACATAAAAAGGTTGCAAACAGTGTGCACATAGTCACAGACGAGATTGTGTCAGAAGGGTGCAATGGCAATGTTGGAACCTTCTGAGCTTCAATATTACAAAAAACCCCTAGGAGACTTTCCTACACTTTACCCTGCCGCTCAGCTTCTCATCTCTCAGGCCTGATCGAATGCTACATGAAATGCTGAATCTTGGAAAGGTGTATTTCTCACAGCGGCTCATCTCATCTGCAGGATCGACAGGAAAAGGGATAAATCTGAGAGGAAGATCCTTGACAGCCAGGAGAGAGCCTTCTGGGACGTCCACAGACCTGTGGTAAGCCGCTGTCTGTATGTGAGACTGCAGCTGCCCACCACATTTTTCCATCTACATTCTCTCTCGTTCCTGCCTTTCTGCAGGTTTTGTTGGGTCTGTAAAAAAATAAATAAATAAAAACCTGAGGTGTGATATTTAAAATCTGGAATCATATTGTTTTACTTGTTTTTTTCTCCAGCCTGGATGTGTCAACACCACAGAGATGGACATCAGGAAATGTAGACGCATGAAGAATCCTCATAGAGTTAAGAAGGTAAAAGCTTAGATAAAAAGAGCATGACACTAACCCTTATGAAGCTTTCTTTCCTTTTTAGGTCCCCTTTTAAAAGTGGCTTGATAAAATATTCATTTACTGATATGCATGTAAAACCAATGTACATATTCAAGCACTGTTTCTTTTTTTATAATCAGTGGCCACAACTTAAAAACTTAATAACATCAAAATTAAGGCTAAAATTTCCCCTTTAATTTTTGACAGTGCAGTGTGGCAGCTTTGCACACTATAAGAAAATAATACTCCTTCTCTTTACTCCTTGTTCCATCGCTTGTCTTTCATCGGCCCAGTCAGTGTATGGTTTGGCAGAAGAGGGAACACAGTCTCAAAGTCCCGTTCAGACTCCCTCGCACCACTGCAGGAAAGGCACCAAGGAGGATGTGGAGAAAGAGGTACGTTTGTCCAAATGTTGTACATGATTGAAGAATAAGTCATATATTGTAAACTCACACAATAGAAGATGTCAATATTAGTGATGTGTCTGCTTGTTAATCCACAAGCATTTTACACTAGTTTTCAAAGCCACAGGCCCATTACAGAGAAGACTGACAACCTTTGTACTGCATTTTATGTTGTAGAAATTTAGCATGAAATCTGCTGTATAGCTTTCTGGCACAAACAGATTTCAATTATGAGAAACAGCAGCAACAGCTCTGCCTCTGACTGAGATAGACCTTGTCAACCAACTCAGACATGTTCAGTTATTATGGTTATAATGAGGTACTTCTTTGGTGCGACTGAACATCAAATTCAAAGCACTTATTGGACTATTTCTTGCTGTTCTGTTACAAAAACCAGCAGAAACAAACCCTAACTCCTGTTGTTTCCTCTTTCAGATCCTATTTCTTAACCAACAACTAGATCGTCACTGTATGAAGATGTCCAAAGTTGCTGAAAGGTAGATGCAGCTCACCTCGCACACACGTTAAAAATGCAGCATATTCTGGAAAGTATATTGAGTTTTTTGTGACACATAAAGAGGCTGCTTTTCCTATCTGCTGTACTGTCTCTGCTCAAAATATTAATACATAATAATTACATAGTGGCTTTTTAAGACATCTAAAGACGCTTCACAAAGTAGTCAAGAACACACAAAAATAAATAAAATATAGTGGAGACAGGAGCATCTACAAAGGGGATTATAAGTTGTAGGCTGTGTTAAAAAGATGTGTCTTTCTGGATTTCTTCAATATGGAAAGTGAGGAGGATTTTCTGATGCTTTTGGGGAGTGAGTTCCAGAGGGTGGGAGCAGCAATGGAGAAAGCACTGTCACCCCAGGTCTGGTATTTGGTCCGGATGGGGAGGAGGTAGGAGGTTAGTATCAGCATAACAGAGGGTGCTAGTATGCCAGTGAAGAAGTTCAGTCAAGTATGGGGGAGCTAGATTATGTAGAGCTTTGTAGGTGATATGGAGGATTTTGAAGTGGATTCGCTGGGGGTCGGGGAGCCAGTGGCATTTGTGAAGGATAGAGGTAATGTGATCATGGTGGTGTGAGAGTGGGTGAGCAGGCGGGCAGCAGAATTGAATGTATTGAGTGTTTTGAATGATGTACCATAGAGAAGACTGTTGCAGTAGTCAAGTTTGGATGTAATGAAAGTGTAGATGAGAGTCTCTGCAGCTGAAAGGGGAGGGATGGACAGAGGTGGGCAATGTTTTAGATGTGGAAGGAGACGGTTTTAGTGATGTGCTTGCTATGTTTGTCAAAGGAAAGGGTCTGGTCAAAGATGATGCCTAGATTTCTGATGTGAGGGGAAGGGAGTACAGTGGAGCTGTCGATGGTGAGGAAGAAGGTGTGGATGGATTTGTTCAGTGATTTTAGTGTTTTCTGATTTGTTACAGTTTAGTTTGAGGAAGTTTGTTTGCAGCCAGGACTAATTCCTATGATGTAGTTAGTGAGATTTGAATGAGTAACAGTGGTGATTGTTTTGTTGGAGGTATAGAGTTGGATGTCATCAGCAAAACTGTGAAACTGGAGTCTATGACGGCAGATTAAGTAGCCAAGGGGGAGCATTTCGAGGACAAAAAGGAGGGGGCCAAGAACTGAACATTGGTGAATACCTTGAGAGAGGTTACAAAGCTAACAAATCTAAATGATTCGTTTTGAGCAGCTCCTTGGTGACAAAGAGAAAACTCCCTTTCACTGAGAAGAAACCTCCAGCAGAGCCAGGCTCAGGGAGGGCAGCCATCTGCTTCGACCAGGTGTGGTGAGGGTAAAGAGGATAGAGAACAGGACAGCAGAGAGAAAACAGACCAGATGGTGAGAACATCAATATCAGCCCAATAAAATGACAAAAATATATATTTTACCCACTGAAACCTGTGATTATTTGAACACAAAATCCATTATAGTTTTTTTCATCATAAACAGTTCAGTCACTTTGTTAAGCAGGTAATCCGTGCATTTCACTTCCAACAATAAATCCTGTTTATCGCCATGAAGGCTAATGCTGAAAGTCGGGTCTGTCCAGTCGTGCTTCTGCTGTAAGTAATTAGGGCTGGGAATGTCCGCTTGCTTAACTGACAACAACCAAAAAACTAATACTTTCACAATAAAGTTGTACCTTGTGCAGGTCGCTACAGACAGGAACCGCGAGCTAAGCTCTCTGACCATCCAGTCAGAGGACGTGGAAATGCTGACGTTATCGTAGGCCAGCTCGTTGGCCCTGGGACCACCAACTCTCAGTCTGATTGGTTAAAGCTACAGTTTTATTACAATGAATTTAAAGCTACAGGTCCCTGCACTTTTCATTCTGAAGGGCAGATTTCTGTGACCCTGGCAACACTTGATGGCTGAAATATGAATGGATCAAAGCTCCAATATAAACATACACTGCTGGAAGCACCACAGCCCAGAGACACGCTATGAAATGAAGAGAATAGACGATTGGAAATAAGGTCAAAAGATTAATGGGAAAATTTTACAACGTAAGTCAGCGATTCTGATAGAGTTTAGGCCAGCAGAGAAGGTCTTGCTGGCCCTGATGGCACACGACTGCACATGAATATGTTGTGTATGTATCAGCCCCTCTCTCAGTGTGGACACACTCTGGATCCTGCTGCTGTTTGAAATCAAAGAAAAGGAGGCAACATTCTACACTTGTTCATTCAGTGTGACACAGTGTCTGATAGTGAATTTCAAGGGTAGTGTATGAGTTGGTGTTGCTATGAAATTAAAGGCGCGCTGAAAGGATGGAGGTACTTTTGAAAACCCATCTGAACTTGTGGTTGGACGATGTGCAGAAGCCTAGTTCCCACTCATCCATCCATCCATTAGCTACACCTGATTCATCCCGTATAGGTTTGCGGGGGCTGCAGCCTTTCTCAGCTGACATTGGGTGAGGGGAAGGGTACACCCTGAACCAGGCCATTATAGAGCTAACATGAAGAGACAGACAGCCATGCACACTCACACTCACAGCCAATTTAGAATTGCCAAAGAAGCTACCTTGCAGTCTTTGGACTATGGGAAAAAATCTGAGCACCTGGAAAAAGAACCCCACACAGGCAGCAGGCAAACTACAGACACAAAGGCACCAGACAACACATCAGGTTCCAGTGTAGGATCTTGCTGTGAGCTGAACTCGTGCCACTCCTAGTTTTCCCTTACACTGAATTGTTTTAGCCAGATTTTTTTTCTCTTTTTTAAAAACAAAACAAAACAACATATTCGAGAGACATTTTGTTCTTTATTGTATTTTAGTGTTGAATTTGCACAATGCCCAGTCACTTGAAAAAACTACATGAAAAAAATAAGCTTTTCTGTGGCAAAGGTGGTTGAATTTAATTGAATGAATACGATCAAAGAGTATATAAATTGAATATCAATTGCTTCATAAATGTTATATTCATCATAGGGGTATTGTGTTCGATCTGGATTACACTGTGCAGGTTAGTGTTCATCCTGCGTGGTGCAAAACTTACAAAAGTCATATGTATTCATTTTTGTGTTGAGCTTACTGTCTGACCTTCAAGCGAGTCCTATCCTGGTGTCTGTCAGGACTGACATTACTTCCCAACAGAGCAGAAAAACGGTGATTACTGCTTGCTGTTCCACTGCTCTGCTTCTGTGACCCTTTAACCTCCAGACTTAAAGCGCTGAACTGACTTTAATTGGTACTCCACAGGGCAGAAGGTTTAGGGCCTTAAACCAAGCACTAAAGGAAATAACATGGCAAACAAAGGCAATCCTGTTGGACAATAACATTAACTGGTATCATTTACGTATTTCTTAATTACTTAAGAATAATCTGTCAAATAATCACTTTCTGGGTCAGTAAGCCTGTAATGCTCTGCAGACTGGAAGTTCTGGCTCACTTAAAATATGATTGAACTGCTGTTGAAACAAGTCAGCTGCTGCATTAAACACATTATAAATGAGTTGAGTGAAGCACTACAGATAGAAAACCACATCCTGTTATAAGAGACTGCAGACAGCAAAGTCTGGCAATTGAGTAAAAGCAAATCAAACTGCTTTTTTGCTTGAAAAATGTACTTCCTGGCTGGTAAATTTCACAAAGCACTGCACATGAACATCTGAACACACTGAGCCCAGTCTGCAGTGGATGGTGTTCGTGCTGTCTCTGTCCGTGGTCCTGACACTTGCTTTCTGCATGGCTGCTCCATCCATTAAACTGTATCCATCCATGAGGACCCTACATGGGTTTGTCACTTCGGCTTTATGTGATAAATAAATGTATACCCCAGTGTTTATGATTCATCCATGCTTTAGGCGTTTAAAATTGTGTCTAATCGTTATTTAATTTAAAGCCTTCTGATGTCTCTTTAGCTTCAAATGCTACAAAAAATCTCCAAAGGCTCCAACAAAGTATGTTTTTTAAGAGTTTCTCTTCTTTTGTGCAATATTAATGAAACCAAAGGGATGCCATAATTAGACCGTGTTATTAAGTATAATCAGAACTTGTGAGCTAGTTGAACTATCAAACAGAACAGTGCTGAGCTTCTAAATTTATTGCTTCCTGTGACAGAAGAAGTGCTGAACAGATTTTATTTTAGCTCCTCTAAAAACTACATGAATTGATGTGATCTGTGGGTTTATAATATGTATTTATTGATACAAATGTGTGTTTTTTCAGGAACAAATCCAATACAATAACATTTTTTTTGTGTCAAAATTGAGAATAGAAAATAAAAAACTCCACCACAACAGTAACTAAAAAGAGAACTGTTCAATGTTTATCTATCAGTGTTTAAATTAACAATGTTCTAAGGAAAGTCAAGTTTGAATAAATGACAATAATTTTAAAAAATAAAAATGCTGAATATCTAATCTGATAGTTGACCAAACTGATAACTGGTGGACCTGTGGTATTCAAATGTGTTACTGCTGCAGTACAGATACTTTAAATATTGTATGTTGTATGACATCGATGGAGGGATTGTCCAATGGCTAACGTCCTGTAGGACGGAAACCATGTTGTGTTGGAATAAATTCAAGTGTTGTTTAAACTGTATCTGTATCTGTCGCTTTGGATAAAAGCGTCTGCTAAATGAAACTGTAGAATTGTAAACTGTGAGTGAGAGAACCTTTTCTACTTTACAGCATCTCTCAGTCCATGTGTATCCCACACTTTTAAACAAAAGTAGATGTTCTGATCTGGGCTTTGATGATTTTTGTCTGAACTTCTGAAAATGACAAATTCACAATTTACACTTTATGAAAATAAAGGATTTACTGTTAGAAAGGCTTCAATGTGTAACGACTGTATTTTTGTCTGGAAAAGTTGTGGTCTGACCTTGTCCTGTGCTCTGTGCTGTGTGTGTTCATGTGTGTCTGTGTGCGTCAGTCTCATAGCCTACACTGAGCAGTACATGGAGTATGACCCATTTGTGACAGCACCAGAACCATCCAACCCCTGGACCAGCGATGACCCCTCCTTCTGGGATCTGGAGGCCAGGTACAAAACCAGAAACCACATCAGTTTCACTTTCTTAGCCAGTGAACCTTTAAGCCTTTTTCATTGAATACATTTAAATTCAAGTCACATACAGCAATTATACATGTCTGTTATCAACACATATCTCCTCTTTTGGGGATTTCCTCATTTGATACTAAAGCTGTGGTTAGAGTTTACAGCGAAATGCATCTCGGCCTAATTGTGTCCTCTTTCCATAACTCATGCTGGGATGTCACAACGTTTCATTCATTTTGTGTTTCAGAAAATCACTATAAGTCAAATAGTCATTTTTCTGGTTATTTACGAATATAATTTGCTTATGCAGACAAGACGGCCGTGTAGAAATACATGAGAACTCATGTACAGTATGATCAGTGTTTTATGTAACCCAGCATTGATTAAAAGTATGGAAATCTGGAAGGTATGTTTTATATTTATTCATAAAGTGTATAAATTAAGCTTAAGATAATTAGTTAAATGGCATAGGATAAGTACAAGTTCACATATAGCAACAGTGTCCTTCTACTCAAAAGCCTGTAGTTTCTTTCTTTAGGCTGCAGGTTCTGGGTCAGTATTGTTCACGTTCCTAAAAAGACACAGGTTTCTGATTTTTTATTGATTTTTTATTTATTGATATTTTTTTTGTCTAATGTCTAATTGTATTATTTAAGTGGGAAAACCTTTTCATCATTATATGTTGTATCAGTATATCAGACTGAGACAGAATAAACACTACAGGATGTTTACAGATCTTACTTTACAGGTCTTCATTAGTGTGAGTCAGTGATTTTCTGACGTAGTGAAGGAAAGTAATTTAAAGAACCAACTGCAATTTTTGTGTTACAGTCAGTTCTGGACAATGACAACTTATTGACCTACAGACTGAGTTGTTATAAAGAGATACAAAGGTAGTGAGGAAAGTGGCCACTGAGCTCCTGATCTGCCTGAAATATGCAGGAATTACCCAAAGCAGACATATAATCATTGTGCCTAATGTAGCTTAATAATTCATCTGAATTGATTAATTGCAAGACAAGACACAATATCCTCCACAGACATTAAAATAAGTGGATTTCAGATGAACATTGCCGCGGTGTTTTAGACACCAACGTCAACGTTTTCAGACATTCCAGGCACAAATCTGACTTAATGATGAAAAGATTTATTCCTTCCTCTATATTCATTGTCAGCGCTCCCCACGTTGTGTGTCTCATCACCGTCTCCCTGTAAATGAATCTCTCCTAATGTCATTTGAATCTTGACCTTCCTGAAGTAGTTGCAGGTGGATTTTTATGATCTCCTCCATCCTCTCCTGTCTCACTCAGTAAGGAGCCCAGTCAGCAGCGGGTTAAGAAATGGGGTTTCTCTCTGGAGGAGGCGCTGAAGGACCCGGCAGGACAAGAGCTTTTCCTCAAGTTTCTGGAGTCGGAGTTTAGCTCAGAAAACCTGAGGTGAGTGTGAAACATCTTTCAGTTTCCAACATACTGATACTGCACAGTGTACCTGCTTGTGACTCCTTTAACAGTGAAAAGCTTGCTGCTTGTTAAACCTAAAGGGTTTGAGGTAAAGAAAGCTTCTTCTGTATTATGAATCCAACTCACTGACATGTCGTTCATCTGGTTAATATGAAGCTGTTCAGCAGAACGTTTTTGCGTTTTCGCTTGTGACACTGTGAGGAGAGTCAAGCAGTCATTAAAAAAGGTTTCACTGCTGTTTGTTTTTGGTATCCGTATTGTTTCAACCTACCATTTTAAACAACTTGCACACTGTAAAGGAAGAGAAACAATTAAGTGAAGATTTGCCAGATCACAGTTACCTGAAACCTTGAACTCACAAAGAACCATAGAAAGATAATGGGCATGAAGACTAAATTCCCAGAAAACCAAGAATAGGAAAAGGGATCCTGTTGAGCTACATCGTTATACAGATTATCTTCTCACTTGGAGGTATAATTAATTTCTGATTTTGCTCAGCAAGATACATCTGTAACTGTTTTCCGTAAGCGCGTTTAACATGGTGAAACATTCAACAACGAGAAAAAGGAAGGGTAGAAAAAAAGATGATGAAATGCAGCTTCAGTCGCTGCTGTTGGGGGATGGAGTATAAAAACCGCAGCGGAGTACAGAAGAACAATACTAGAGGGGAAAATAAATGAGTTGGAACCGACAAAGAATTTAAACAATGTTGGATGTGTGGTAGTATTTGTTAAATGTAAAATTCAGAAAATATCACTCCAATGTTATGTGCTGTTAGAGAGAACAGTCAGTTAACACAGGACCGAACACAGGGAGGATCAGCTCGCTGGTACTGGTTAGCTCTTGATGCTTTGTTTAATCTGTCAATATTAATAATTGATGCTTATTTATACTTTTGTTTAAATAGTCAGACTGCAGTATTCCTTTAAATCACTGTTTCTGAAGGGCAGAACATGCAACATTTGTACTCTCCATGCAAGACATACATTTTTGCGAGCAGTTTATTGATGTTTTTTCACATTTTCAATCACTGTGAGTTGATTTTTTTTTTTACTGCAATATAAAGTCCTGCACATCTCTGGAAACAGCACGATCATGGCTGGAAGAAGACTAAAATTGTTACTTATTTTGCCTTAAATCATAAAATGATCAAATGATCTCAGCTGTGGCTTGCATCAAGGATCACAGATTTTTATTTTTTCACTTTCTATTTTTATTACAGGATCTGCTGCAAATCATTTATTTTTGTAAAGTTTTTAGAATAAAGACTTCTGTGATGAAATATCATGATTTAATGTGGTTTATTTTCCTGAAGGAACTGCATGTCACGCATGGTTAGTTCCAGAACTGTCAGAAAGTTGAAAATCTGATGGTTCTTGTTGCTTTTACAGTCCCTGGGTGTGATTTTTATTTATTTATTTATTTTTTTTATTTAGGCCACTGACAGATTTTAGGGTTCAGAGGGTTAATGAAACACAATGTGCTGTCCTGCTGCTCTACTCTCTTGCTAGTGTCATAGGCAGCCTGCTGATAAAACAGCATCTCCTTAATGCTGGTCATGTCTAGAAACTGCTGGAATTTCACAAAGTGTGCATGGTTTGTATGTTTGTTTAAGCAGCTCTCTTCTAAATTAATAAGGCTGTTGATTTGGTAGTTGTTGTTTCTTGATTCGCAGTACAAATATTAAATTCATCCTTCATGTAGACATACAGCTACAGATGCACACTGCATCATGTTTTAGCCCTTTATGCACCAGAGCAGCAATAAGAAGGTGATTTTATAATGTGTGAGTGAGGGAGAGAGCAAGCATCTCTGAGAGCTATAGCAAGAAAGAAGGAGAAACGTGTCGGGAATGAAAGTGAGGGGATGAAGTGATAGTATTGAGGTTGTTGATATCTCTGAGCCAGAGGGAGATAAAACACTGAAAAATACACACAAACAGAAGGAGAGAGCATTCACACATATCACGTTCACCCTCTGGCTTTCCCAGCAGCCTCCTCAGCCCTATCTCTCCCTCTGTCTTGCTTTCTGTCTCTGGACCTTTAATTGCTTTTGGTTTTATGAGGCAGCTTTCGGAGGAGAAAGAGAGGGTGGCAGTGAGGGAGAGAAGCAGGCCCCCAGAGCTTCATCTGTATGTTCCTAAACCAGTTCACAGATCAATATAGATACAAACTAATATCAGAGGCAGCCAGTCAGTTGCTCTCTGCTGCCTCTGCTGTTTAACACAACTCAGTCTCACTGCAGTTTGTGTGTTTCTGCTCTAAAAACATCAGTTTTACACCTCAGTCATTCTCATGTTAAATATTAAAACTGTATGTTTTTAAAAGAGTCCTCCAACATCTGGAAGATTCACATCTTCACAAGTACCAAGAAAACAGCACCTAATGCGTAGGATCTTCTAACCACATAGATGATGTGGATATTCTTTGTCCTTCCTTGTTCTTGCAACTTGTTTTGTGCTGTTCCACCTTAACATCTCACTGCTTCTTGACTCACATGTTTCAAACATTCCAAATCACAACATTGCAACCGCTGACACCGTTGCCTTTATTTGGTTGATTTGTTCTCACCTTAGGCAAGACAACAAACATCTAACATGAGGTTGATGACCTGTTCTGGACATTTTCCTTGATGTTTGCTGAAAGAAACGGAGACTCAATTGCGCAACCATCATTCTATCACTTCTGATCGTTATTTGACTAGTTACAAGTAATCCAACATTAATCATTCAGAATATAGACATCAATTCAAAAGGCAAAAGAAATGCTTTATATCACCTTAATAAAAAAAAAAAAAAATAGAAAAGGGTACGAATTTTATTTACAGTCAGCACAAAACATGGGCTTCTAGCAGTCTGTAAGTCCAAACATTTACTGATGTGTATTTGAATTTGCACCGTTGCAGGTTCTGGCTGGCGGTGCAGGACCTGAAGAGGATGCCCCAGCAGGAGGTTGGACAGAGGGCTCAGGATATCTGGGCAGAGTTCCTGGCAGAGGGAGCACCAAGCTCCATTAACCTGGACTCTCACAGCTACGAACGCACCAGCCAGAACCTGAAGGACCCCGGACGATACAGCTATGAGGACGCACAGGTGCTGTGACTATACAGTAAATGATTTGCTCTACAAGGATGTATTTTGTAATTTAATATAAAGTGAGTGTTAAAAAAACAACAACCAAAAAAACCACAGAAAATATGAATACTGTAGAAGCAGGGATGCAGTGATAGAAACTTCCATTTGGATCACGATTTTGATGTCTCACAAGTTCGAAATGGCCTGATCTTATGATTATTAATACTCACAATTTCTACAACAACTGAAATGTTCCTGCCTATTTTCATCTGCCCGTTTATCCACTTCTATATATCCAAACTGCAAAATACACAATTTCCATTCCATGTTGAGGAGCTAAAGTTGCAAATCATCACATTAAGTCGTACAAAAGTTAAGTCTAAAAGCAGCTGTTGGGTTGTATTCAGCACTGTTTACAGGCTGAGCTTTGTGTTGAGTAAACAGGCTACTGGCTCCAGCATCATAGTCAACATACAGACATAAGTCTTTTTGTCTTCCCATCAGTCTCTCTGCAAAGAAGCAAATGTGTGTTCCCCAGAATGTCAACAAATTCCCTGAAAAACGTGTCATTTTCATTTTCTGTGCATCGGGATTTCTCATCTTCATGTCAAAGGAACTAAATAGGCACACTGTCCATAAGAGGCTCTGATCTACGTGCCACTTTGTATCTCCCTTTCAATATATATTTTCAAGTGATCTGCATCAAGATGCCTCTTCAGAACCTCTTTGTCTGTCCAGCGTGTCTGTCTTACATGCCTCACCTGAATCAACTAATGGCTTTATATTTTGGAGTGATTTCTAGAGGAAACATCCGGCTCAAGGATAGATGTGGACAGAGGGAAGACAGAGGTGTTGTAGGATGTGTGGTGTCTATTACATGTTCTCTACTCTTACAGGCTTATAAGGGAACAGGGAAATAATGACAACTTGGCAATGTGCGACAACAATTTTATCCCTCTGAGACTGTCAAGTTTAGTTTACTGTGCTTCAGCTTGCAAGTTTAGAACATCATTAGCACAGAGCCACATACATCCAGAGGAGAGAAACCCTCCTCGTCCTGCTGGTAAAAAATATGAATTTCTCTTTTATTCTCTCTGTGTGTCCATCTGTCTGTCTATTTAGGACCATATCTACAAGCTGATGAAAAGCGACAGCTACGCACGTTTCTTGCGCTCCAATGTATACCAGGATCTGCTTATGGCAAGGAAGAAAGTATGTGTGTTTAAAATAGCTGTATTTTGTCTAAACTAACTGCAGATAGCATTGGTAACTGAAGGCTGCCTTGTACAGACGTATTAATGAGACACAATAAGGGATGCACAACATTCATGGGCTTTACGTTAATTAAATTGTGTTGACAACAACACAAGGTTTTCCAAAGCAGATACAAGAATTACACACAAGCGTAATCTGCAAAAAATAAACATGATTGGAATCTTGTGTAATTTTGGACTTTGAACTGATTCTTATATGTGAATTGTGTGACAGATAAATGTTTTTTTTTTAAAATCTTTTCTGTACCCTGTAGCCTGAGATGGAGCAGGGGAGGCGCACCTCTCTGGAGAAGTTCACTCGCAGTGTGGTGAGTGTCCCACTACCGCTGCTTTGAAATCTTCAAACTGCATTCAGTGCAATGTATATGATTTTAACACTCAATACAACAATATCATTACAGAAAACAACTATCTGCTATGTAAAGATACACTAGTTGTGGAGTAATGATGTCCTGGGTACATCTGTGTCTGTTTCCACTCGTGGCTCTGCTACAGAAAAAGAAATTATTAGACCGACTCATTATTCATGTGTTTGTCACAAAGTTGCTTTATCCATTTTCACTGTGATAATCCTGAATGCTGCAACATCAATTTAAATGTAAAGTTTTGATGCCTGTACTCAGTAATTTTCTTCCTTCATGAAGGGATGTGTTCTTTTTCTTAATACTGATTTCAAGATATGGTGCCAGTGCACAAACTCATTTGTCCAGCTGCATGACTGAACAAGCACTTGCTTGTAGCAATATTGTAGAAACGCTGAAGGATAAATTCAGAAAAGAAAGCTTTTACAATTATAGCTAAGGGGATTAACGCATTTCTGGCATCCACACTGTTGGCTTTACAGGTCTGAGCTTTACTGCTCTGTGGCAGTTTTTATTATTTTCACTTCAACACCTGAAGCCACTTGAGTGCAGACGTGCAACATAGCAAAACAAACAATGCATCTCACTGCAGACACATTGTGAGCATCAAATGTAAATATCAGTGTATGTTAGTCTTACTGGACTTAACATGTTGAGCTAATAGCTTCATCTTGCATCCGTCGTCGTATTACTGCTTTTTAATTCAGTTACTGGCAATCTTTTTGTAATATATTTGACTTTCCCCACTTAATGTTTTTTGCAGACAGGGCTTTTCTTTTCTTTCACTCTTCCTCCCACTGTGCTCTTTCTAAATCCTCAGGAAAGCTGAGTTGATGGCATTTTGACAGCTGTCACCCTTACCTCCCTTGCACTCTGTTTCCTCTCAGGGCAAGTCTCTGACGGGCAAACGACTGACGGGCCTCATGCAGTCATCCTGACAAGGCCTGGATCCAGAGTAGGAGGAACCATACCCAAAAGAGCTGCTTACCCGTGGGTAGTAGGTGGAGAAGGACCCTGGGGTGTGTGGGTGTGGCTGAGGGAGGCGCATGAGGGTGCCAAACAAGCTTAGACCGCCGAGTGGAATGCGACCACGTCTGAAACTCACTTGATCAGTTCAAGAGGACCGACAGCATGCAATAAGTCACCAGACCTGACACCGAGACAGTGCTGTTACAGTGTAGATGATAAACAATGCTACTCTTCTTAGGAGGTTTCTACTCAAAAGCCTGAACCAAACAAGGCCAGGCACAGTCGCTTCTCTCTATCTACTATATACACATCATGTCAATATGGTAGCTGAAGAGGCTCTTGCTTTACTTTCAGTGATATAAACATGGAATGCTTGAATGCCTTGATTAAAGTCAAAATGAGACTTAGATTAATGCTGTAGCCAGCTGTTTTATCTCACGTCTTTCACTAGGAAGGTATAAGGGAAGGAGGGATGGGAGGGTTTCCAGTAAACATTCACACTAGAACTGATGGTGGACTGCCTTCTTTTCATCAAATGAGCTTTTAGATCAACTTACTGTTGTATGACACAAGATATGCCTCTGTATGTCTAATACTGCTTTAGCTGGTTCCAGTGTGTACTCACATTTAAGATCATTCTCAACACAAAGCAAAATGCAGTTTTATCATTTAGACATCTGAGTAAATCAGACATCACTTGACCTTTAAACATTCTTGGCACTCAGAAGTGAAACTGTGTCATAAAAAGGTAAGTTGATCACTTTACATTACTTTAAATGAGTGAGTGGATGACATGTGAGGCTTTATTCTATCTTCTAAACATTCCACTTCAGGGTGCCACAATAAGGTTTAGTGGGCTGACTTCTAATCATTCTCCACCTTATGTAAAGAGGACCATGAAAATAAAAGAGGAATGCACAAAAAAGAGAGGTATTTGTACCTTTATTTCATCATTTAGTTCCTCCAGGACCTGCAAAGAAATTTACATGAATAGGAAATTCCTGAAGTAACTGAACCAAATGCCCCACTTCAAGCTTTGAATGCTGTTTCATTTAACAAGTTCATCTTTGCCTTCCGGTGTTACATTCTGCCCTTTAGCATGTTTGGAATGCAAGTGCTGGTTAGCATCCTACCTTCTCTTTGTTACAAGCAGGGCAACAAATGTGCCATTAATAAGAATACTACTTAAAGAGCACCAAACACAAAGTCATGTATTAAAATGATCACCCATCTCCCAGTTGGTACGAACTGAATGTGGTCACTTGAGATTTTAGGTTATGGAAATCAATAACGAAACATTGGAAAATTAACAATGGACACTTCTAAACTGTTACAATCATAAACAGGCATTTCAGTGTCTCTGTTTTTGGTAACAGCTGTGAAGGGCAGCAGCGCCACCTGGTGGAGTTTCAGCAATAAAGCAGGAGTGTCGTATAAATCTGTCCTAATTGTTTAAATTATCAGAGAAATGTTGGAACCTTGCAACACTGGTCCTAATTAGGAGCAGATTTTCAGGATTTGTACTCACATTATGTGAACAAGTCTAAGGATTCATTTGCAGGACTGACTGCCTGTGTAGCAACATAACAGTGGATCATGAATAACTGCAAAACAGTGATATTTTTATGCATAAAAAACAGGATGAATTTGTAGCTAATTCATTTATTTTTTTTACTGGATTGGTTTTGATGGCAGGACTCAGCCATGTTCATTTACAGTGATTGTCCCAAGACAACTCTTTTCCTTTGAAAAGTGTCTTGGTTGCATCTCAGAATCACTCTCTCCATTGTGGACAACGTTATTCAAATTCTGCACACTGTATAGAAAATCCCTCTGATGTAGTACTTCCCAGGCTGAATATTATAATGCAAATTAATTCTGTTTAGAGCTCAACCATTTGGGCAAAATATCTAATCCAATTTCCCTCCTTCAGTTCAATGTTCACTGTGTAATAGATTTAAAACGTGATGGACGTTACCACATGTCTGCCATGCAAGATGGGATGAATTTGTAAAACCTTTGTCATGACAGTTCAAAGAAGGACAGGACAATCTCTGTGATGCTGTTAAGAATATATTTGAAGAAACAGTTGCTTCAGCATTTTAAGCAACACCATGCAGAACACAAACCTTGTGTCCTGCAGAAACCTTGTACCTTCAATTTGCCTTCTCAACATTACTGAAGAATGACACAAGCTGCAGCTCGTGTGAAAGGTTCCCACTATATCAATCGGATCTCTTGGTATGTGGAATGTTACAAGAATATAGCACCCCAAACTGAAAAAAAAGTTTTCATTTTCTAGTCACCCTCATGTCTGTTGAAGTCCAAATTTAACGACATAAAGTTAATTGATAATCTAGGTTTTCTCCAAAACAGCAGATGAAAAAAAATCATGACCATGAAAAAGAATGTGGAATTAGTGACACCAGATCTGTAATTAAATGCACATAGTGGTTAAAAGTTGCACGAGATGATGTCAAATCAGGTTATATTGAATATCAATGTAGCTCGTGAGTGTAGTGTTGGACGAAAAAGAAGCCCAGCTTTATACATGGTGTGACCGACATGAGGGTGAGAAGCTAATGAATGACAATGTTCACCCCTACGTCAACAACTCCTTTCATATTAAAAGCAAATCTTAATAAGGAAATGATTCTGGCATTCTCAACTAGTTTTCGGGGAACAAGGTTTATGAAGGACAAATATAGAAAAACCACACAGGTATAAATTGTAACTTTTAATTCTTTTCCAGAGAAGTTTGTGTTTTACTGGTAAATTAACAGAAACATTTTACCAGCATCACAAACCTTCAGAGGACCCTGGTCTACCTCTTCAAGAGGGACAAGGAAAGGCTTCACACATCACACTTATCCCAAAGACAACAAGCTGGAATACAGTAAGCACCTGTAACCATAGCAGAGGTCTAAATATTAATGTTTTGTTAAAATTCCTTGACAAAGTGTGGATGGCCTGCAGAGGGAAGATGCCAGTAGGATGGCTGAGAAGAGCTGCTTCACAAATGCATGTATCAAAAAAAACAGATGCTCTTTGGATCAAAGGACAAATCAAGGAAAGAGGTTAGACTTGTACTCTGCTAGGACAGAACCAAAAAATACCAAGGCAACTACTAAAACTCCTTTAACCCTCATGTGCACAAATAAGGCCCTCAATGTAAACCGATGCCTAATGGTTGTTGAGGAGGCTTGGCGTCTACGCATTTCAACTCAGTCTTCATCAGGGCACAGCTTCCTGTCATGTTCTTACATGCTCTGATAAAGTAGTTCAGGCCATAATGATGTTCACCTTTTAACAAAGCATGAAACCTGGAGCACTTGTGCAGTTTCTGGGCTTGAGCAACACTTCATCGTGACTGTTCTACTTTCTGACATCACCAAATAATGTATTTTGCATTCTGAAACAAACATGACAACACAGAAAGGTGATGGTTACATATATGTTTGATGGCCAAAGATGACGACGATACCATAACCTAATAACATCATTAGCTGTTCAGGTATATAAATAACAGGGAATTCAGAAGCAATGTGAGAAGGAATTCACAGCGTCTAAGAATCGAGGCAGGACTTCTTAATGTAATATATAATGTCTGACTGTTGTGTACGGTTTAAAAAGCTCCATCACGCTGTTCATTACCCCTGACAATACTGAGACTGCAAAGACTAGAACAATATTCAATATAACCTAGAAAGTGTGTCAAACATAAAGACTGATTTAAAAAAGAATATTCAAAAAACACATCGGTTTTGTTGTTGTTGAGCCTACTCTGTACTCTTTCCTTCACACTGACACAGAGCTGTGTACTTTCAATACCCACAGCAGTGTTTCATGCTGTCACAATGCCAGAATTACAGGATGAGCTGAGTTGAAATGCATGTATGTTAAGCCCATTCAATGAAGGTTTTTACATTTTTGCAAAGAAATGTGCCTTGGGTATTGGTTGGTTCTGACTTACTGATCACTAAAGCTAAGTAAAAGTCTAATCCCTTCCTCTTCCTAAACTGGGAGAGACACATTAAGACCTCACTTGTAAGTCATTTCAAATGTATTGACCAGAACATTACATTGTGCATAAAGTCAGAGTCTCAGGCTGTGCTGCCATTCTCTCACTAGAAGCATAACGGTACGTTTCAAGCATTACATGCACAGTATATAATATTTAATATCAGGCTTTTATGAGTCTTTTAAAATCTCACTAGGTAACTTTGCATTTGGTAGCCCCAAAGAAGCAGCAAGATATAGATGCAACATTTCCACTTGCCTTTGTAAAGGTAGTGTCTATGCTGCGTAGAAAATTGTTTGCTTTGAGCTCAGAAATGTCAAAAATCTGTCTCTTAGGTTGGACACTGATGTTGATGAATTGAAGCCACAAGACAAGCAGAATTAATGAGGACAAATGGGATGAATTCACATTGTGCTTCAGTTCTAGCTTTAGTTTAAAGGTACATCAGTTAAGGATTAGAGAAGATTTATGACTGTATAGCCTCATATTCTCTGCAAGGCGACAGCTTGAAACATAATTTGGTATTAGTGCTGGGATTCTTAAAAAAAGCTTCCAAAACTTCTGGCACAGTATAATCAAGGGTATTGATAACATGGAGATAGATTAGGATTATGTTTACATGAACCTCTGACCAGTGCAGCTTCAAATACTGAGATCTTTCCTAAATGCAGTAAACTCCACACTTTATGGATCCGTGTAGCTCCTTGAAGAAGTATTATTAGAATACAACAAAGGAAGCGGCTCTATGATACCAGTTAGGCAGCTACAGCAGGACAGGAGCGAGGCTGGACTCCTTTAATCTCCAGAGCCTTGTTGAACTGCACATCCATCGTCTTAGAAGCCTTGGTGATCTTCAGGTTCTTTATGCAACCTCTGAAAGACGTGTTTGTGGAGAGAGCTGCCTGACGAACTCCATCTGAGAGAGAGGGAATACACTCACACGTCAGTATGGGGCTCTGTGTGTGGTAATACACAGCATGTGTACTCAAACCTACAGATAAGTGTGTACTGTATTCTCACTATCTATATGCTTAGGACAGCAGATGAAGAAGAAGAAAAAAGACATATAGATGTAAATTTCCTGAAATGTTCCTTTACAATTGTGCAGCTATTGTTTTAAGTATGAGCAAGTGTGAGGGCTTTCATACCAGGATACCCCCCGACATAGATGGGGTCGTTGGTGTCGCAGGTGTGGGAGCGAGCGTTAGGACTCTTTGCCTGGCTCTGCTTCCCGTCAACCAGCAGCTCCACCCTGTGGCGGAGCTTGTTGGCAGTGATGGAGTGCCACTGGCCATCACAGAAGCCGTCTCCCTCAGGCATGTGCTCCGCCGTGATCCGTCCGGCTCCATTATCAACATGGAAGAGCAACTAGGGGGAGGGGGCAGGTACATGGACACAACACTTTAATGCATGCATCAAACATCTAATTTGCTGTTTCCAGTCTGAGGCTGTCATTTATATATTCTTTATGTGTAAATCTGGATAACAACATAGACTGTATAACTACCTGTATTCTTCTAATTCTTGAAGCACACACTGTATCTAGATACTGAATCAATGCAATCTGCAATATGGAACTTTTAAAAGGAGATTAAAGGAGTAGTTTTAGGAAGCACACATGTTTTCTGATTTCACAGTATATTTGAAGCTGGAGTATGGAGGGCCACAGACAAGGCCAGAGAAAGCTCGATTTAACACCAATATCCCCCCAAGTCTGTCCCTCCACAGTCACTCCCTTAAATCACAACAATGCCTGAGTACAACTACTCCACAAGTCAAAGTGCTGGTTGGGAATGGAGCGCTGTGCATTCGTACCACATTAAGTCATATTCATTGGAAATCATAACCAGATAATCACCTGTTCAACAGAAAAAAGAGAAACCACGATGCCACATTTGGTTGTGGTTGTTCTGTGTCTGCTTGTCTGTGCAAGCTGCTCACACCTCTACCAACGTGTCTGGCTAGCCTGGTTGGTAATACGTAATGAGGCAATTGGCGGAGAGAGTGCAGGTGTTTAGTTACCAATCCAATCATTTTGTGCATACCAAATGTTGGACAGGTTTTTTTATAGGCGTGTCATTGCCACAGACCATGAAGCTGTTGGAATGTGAAGAGACATTTCACAAATAAAACAAAAATGCTCCTGGAATACTTTGCATAGTCTAGCTTTAAATCAGGCTGCAGCTGATTAGCTTAGCACAAAGAATGGAGACAGGAGGAAACAGATACCTTGTTCATTCCAACAAAAAGTGTCAATCAGCACCTCTTAAGCTCACCAATTAACACATTATATGTTGTTTCTTCGTTTAATCAGTATACAAACTAAAATATGAAACTACTTTAGAGGACATTATGTGCTGGGCTATTTCTTGGCTGAGCGCAGGAGCGTTGCAAGGTGGTGCAGTTGGTAGCACTGCTGCCTTGCAGCAAGAAGGTTGCCGGTTCGCGTCCTGGTGGGGACACCTGGGATCTTTCTGTGTGGAGTTTGCATGTTCTCCACGTGCAGCGTGGGTTCTGTCCGGGTTCTCCGGCTTCCTCCCACACAGTCCAAAAACATGTTGAGGTTAATTGGTGATTCTAAATTGTCCGTAGGTGTGAATGCCTGTGAATGTGAGTGTGCTTGGTTGTCTGTCTCTAAGTGTAGACAATAGACTGGTGACCTGTCCAGGGTGTCCCCTGCCTTCGCCCTAAGTCAGCTGGGACAGGCTCCAGTCCCCTGTGACCCTAGTGAGGATTAAGCGGTGTATAGATAATGGATGGAGCAGGAGCATCCTCTGCTGGCTACCTGGAAAATGCATAGAAGTAAGAAGCTGTCTGGCTCATTACTCTTCATAGAATAGTGAACTGTTGCCTCAGACTTTTTTGTGTGGACAAACAAACAAGATATGATATACTAATTAGTGAGCTCTAAACGTGAATGTGCTCATAAACGATTTTGTTGCTGTTTGACTGAGCCAGATAGGGTGTTTTCAGTCTTGGTGCTTTACTGTGCAACACTCAGACATGAGGGTGGTATTGCACTTCTCACCTAAACATCTGCCAGAAAGCAAATAAGTGTGGTTTCCAACATATTGGACTACTCTTTTAATCATCGCTGCATACCTTGCCCTGGACAATCTCGAGACCGAGTCCATCGTTGGCTTGGTTACTGATGGCCAAAAGCACGCCATTGGTCCTGCTGGTTCGGAACTCTAATGCAATTGACACATCCATACCCACCCTGTAGGTAGGGACTGGATAAAGACACAGAGAGATTATTATTTTCCTTTATTTGCATTGTTGCTGGGGTCATTGCAAAGGTGGTTTCTACACAGCTACCCTGTGGAAAACTCCATGACAGGCCAACCAAATTTCCCAAATGCAATCTTACTTTACAGTATGTAGTTCAGTTGTCTACATGTCATCTCACCTGCTTTCAGGTAGCCAGTGCCGTCAAAATAGGTGCCAGCCTCAGTAGCAACAAAACACCTTCCAACCATGTGGCTGGAGGAAGGTGTGGCCATGTTCAGTTTAAAGTCCACATTGGCAGTCTCAGAACGACCTAGGAACAGAGGGGGAGAGAGAAGAGGAAATCATCCATCCATCCATTATCTAGACACCACTTCATCCTTCTGTATGGGGGCTGTAGTCTATCTCAGCTGACTTAGGGTGAAGGCAGGGGACACTCTGGACAGGTAACCAGTCTATCACAGGGCTGCACTTAGAGACAGACAACCAAGCACACTCACATTCACACCTACGGACAATTTAGAATCACCAATCAACCTCAACATGTTTTTGGACTGTGTGGGAGGAAGCTGGAGAACCTGGAGAGAACCCACGCTGCACGGGGAGAACATGCAAACTCCACACAGAAAGATCCCAGGCTGAGATTTGAACCCAGGACCTTCAAGCGACAGTGAGGCAACAGTGCTAACCACTGTTTCACCACGCTGTTCAGGTGGAAATCAGTTGGACACATTTAAAATGCCGTCTCTTTAGCTGTGGCTTAGTTTTAAGACATAGATGCACTAAAGAAAACCTGTCAGTTATTGATAGTTTCATGTTATGAGTTGCAACATGCACAAATTCTACATACAACACAAATCGTTTACCCGTAGCATCTGCCTTCGTGCTTATAGGAGCTCCAGTCATCGTAAAGTTACGAATGCATCCATTGATACTGTAGAGAATCTAGAAACAAAAAAATAGTGAAAAAAACATTTGTCCAACATTCAAAGTTAGTTGGGAAACCCTCCATTGTCAGTGTGCAGGTTTAGCAGCAAATAGCTTTGGTATTCACTTCACAGGACTAATACTGTAAATGAAAACTGTTCTGTGTTTTTGTTCGTTGTTACATTATAACCACACCTTTGTCAATTAATGTAATTGGAATAATGTGAAATCTTGCTATGTTTAAGCATGTATGTGTGTCTGTGTGTTTATACCGGTCCTATTCTTTTGCTGGTGTAGTTTTGAGGTAATCCACCAACATAGAGCGTTCCCACCACGTCTAACAGGTCAGCCTGGTGAGAAGAAGACCAAAAATTAATGCAACATGAAAGCAATTCTTTTAAGAGACAACAAAAGCATTACTATCAGATCTGAGGTTTTTAATGAATCATTTGTCTTCACATTTTCTGAGAACAAGTGTTTCCTGTGTGCTAGTTTGCCACTCGTATGTGCCATTATATTAAAGCTTTCATGGTTTCAATAATAATAATAATTTACCTTCCCTGGACTGGTCAGCTTTCTTTTGTATCGCCCATCAACTGTAAGCTGACCTGTCTGCTTGTTGCGTTTCACATGAATCTAAAAAGGACAAGAAAAAAATTAAGAAAATTAGGCAGGCAAAACACAACAGATGAAGGACACTTCCTGAACAACTGAAGGAACGTCCTACCTTGTGCCAGTTGCCATCATTGATGGAGAAGGGAACGCAGCCAAATATGCTTCCGCGACCAAGGTCATAACCCAGACAAAGCAGTCCGTCTTTCATCTACCAGATTCATGATGGAAAGACGACAAGAGAAGCACAAGGAGGCATAAAATGACAGATAAGATGTCCCCGGTGAAACAAACTACATACAAAGTCAGTCCCTGTACAGTGTCGCTGTATAGACTGAAAATAACCTGCAAGGATGTGAAAATACTGGTATTTAATCTAATGAAACATCTATTTGTCAGGTTGCATTTTATTTTTTATTTTTTTCAAAAGTATCTACAAGTTCTGCTTTGTTCTGCACTGTGTGATAGTGGCTCTGATTTGGCTGCGAAACACAGTTGCTTTGTGGCACAGTGCAAACAACTCTCGAACTTGTTGATAGTCAGTGTAGGTAAAAGCTGTTAGACATAATGAAGAAAAGCACCATATGCTTCCTAGACTAACATAAAATTAACTTGGGGAAAAAAATAACTAAACTTAGAGAGAAACAGGGAAAACAATGACATGCAGTAATAATGTGATGTTACCTGTATGGAAACAAAGTCAGCGTGGTTGATTCTCGCCATGTAGAGCACAAGACCAGACGCTTCTTTTGTCCTCAGCTCAAACTCCAATGTTAACCTG